TATTTTATTCATGTAATTAACGTCATATGATATACATCGGAAGAGGAGGATATCATTTTCGTAACCATAGTGAGCCAAGAAAACTCATCTGCTCATCCCTAAATGCAGCATATATACTCAAATATACGCTTTTGTATGAGGTATAAAGTGATTCGGTTGGTTAAAAGTATCTACCAATCACGATGCTTTTGCTAAACTAATGTTTGTGCTTTCCTGTTTTCGTAGATGTGTGTACCAGCTCATAGTTATTAGAACGGAACGTATCATCGGTTCTGGGTCATCAAGCTTTACTGCCCACCACCGGCCCAATTGCTTTCAATTTCAAGCCTCGCTCCAATTTCCTAATGTGCGGCATAAGTATGGTTAATTTGATGGCGTGTCGAGATTGTACGCTGCACTGTCATAGTTCGAGTTTCGCTGGGGGTGTTGATAAGGCCTAGGAGTTGTCGAAATTGCAGTTCACTCTTTCACGAAGCAAGGTTATGTGAAATTAAATGCAAGTGAAAAGTATACTCATAGCACTGTTGAAAAATGCAACTACTTGTCCCTTTATTACCGCAAGCGAAATAGAGTGACTACAATTCATATAAGTTAATACGATTTTTATCTTCGTGCGATGGAGGACAAGTGGACTAAAATGTATGTAAAAAAGAACATTCCAGTAAAGTCAGCCAAACAATGGCCAAAAAGAATCCGCCGCCGTCTTTTGGTGGAAAAGATCTTCAAAACTCTACACAAAATAATTTAACTCGAAATAGAAATGAACTCAATAATATTTTTGTAGCATGTCGAAATTACAAGTTGCAACACTCCAAACTGGGTTCGAGCCACGCTGGGAGTTCTGTTGAGACCAGTTGAGGCGAGGTCTAAACTGCAGTCCACTCTGGACGGGAAGGCTATTCCTCTAGTTGTGGACAAATTAATGTATCACCTTTTAAAACTTTGGGCAACCAGAACCCTTATTCAAGAATTACGGGCACCCTTGAAATCCTAATTTATCTTAATATAGGCAAAGTGTTCGGTTGCAATGGCTAAAATGGTGACAGCCGGACTCGAATTACAACCAATTCGTAAACTTGTACGAATGACGAACATCATACACTGATGATTTGACGCAAATTCGCCTCTGGTCCACACGTCCTGCATGCTTCTATGTATATATATATGCATGTACGTAGTTATGTATGCATGCGTGTGTTTTTAACTCAGTCAGCATTTTTTGGGTCCAAACATACTGAATTTGACCGCTATCCTGGTGAGTGGTTATTGTATGATCCTACTAGAGCTAGTAACATTTTAGGCTATTCGAATTGAATGTTCTCTTTTGGATATGTAAAGAAAGGTTGGGTTTCGAGGACTCTCTTGTTTCAGAATTGTTGTGCTTACGCCCATTTCGAGTGAAAGTGTTTCGTGTAGAGATTTAAAGGTTGATTACACCAGAAGACAACGACTGATTCCTCTTGATTAGCTGTCGATCGGCTTTACTGGAAGCTTTATGCTGACGCTGTTTCAGAGGTAATCTCCTTCGATTCCGGTGAAAAGGTGGTAAGCTTTCGTCCGTCATATGACGAACATCATCAGAGCAAGGTAATATCGTCACAAACAAACTTAAGCTAACGAGTCAAGAAAACTCACTGGCAAATCCATAAAAAGTGGTATCTATACTCTACATCTGGCCTCTTTGATCAGGTATAAAGTGATTTGGTTGGTTACGGTCATATGTCAACCTGGAAGCCTGTGAGTTTGTCTGTATCTGTATGTGTATCTGTCTGTTTATGTTCGCTTATGCACGAAACTCGCAGTGATGGCTCAAAACAATTAGGACAGCAAAAGTAACGTCTAGTTTCTTACATCAAGGCTTGAATACCTTTATCTTCCATTTTCTACATTTAAGTTATAACCATCACTCCGATTGCACAAGGTCGGACACTCGTCTGGTTTCCTTGATAAGCCTATTTTTTGTTTTTGGCCTCAATGCGAGAGAGAAAGGGTGAGGTAAAAGTACAGAAAAGTGGCTATGATTAGAAGCAAGACAAGAAAAGACTAGTTGTGTCGCCTCGTTGAGTCTCTATCCTTTAGTCTATTAATTAAGTACAAGTAATTTTTAGAGGTGACTGCGACCACACAAAAGGCCACACCCTCATCGTCTTCATACAAGTAATCTTTACTTATCTTCCTACCAGTATTCCTTACATTCAATGTATTTTATATTCGGGTTATTTCGATGGCTTCTCTAACTTTACGTTTAGCCGCAACCTAACATGATTTTAGTTTCTACCTAGCCTAGAACTGATCAACAACACCGCTATTTAGCGAATAACACGGTTTCTAAACCCGTTTTGGTGCTAATGTGTTAATGAGATCAATGGCGTATTGGAGTCTACTCATTTAGTTATAAGAAAGCTAACTATGTCCTCAAATTACCAAGAAGGATTATGGCCCTTATGTTGCTTTTAATGACAACCTCGGGATCCATTCAGCAGGAATAAGAATGCAGGGCTACTAATGGTATAAAATTCCTCTCCAAATTCGCCAGGGGAGAGAATATCGCAAATGGGAAAATGAAACTTTCGGTAGATAAATGCTGAGTTAACGTCTATTTAATTTAAAGGCTCTATTTACTCTGCTCATCTTGTTGTTCCACAAATGAACAATGAGGTTAATGCCTCTGTGAGAAGTTGACTAAAGCGACTGAGTAATTTTGAATTGGTAAGTAATAAGGATCTAACCGGTACTTCAACATATTAAAGGATTGATCAAACTTGATATTTCGAAAGCCACGTAACGGAATAGAAATATAGCCTAAAGTTTCACTGTCAGGCTAATTCGATGAAAACAAGAGTTCTTCTTTCTAAGTTTCTGGGAAGATTGAAGTGATGTAGGAAGGTGTAAATAAGATGGACAATTCTTAACCATTAGAGCAGTAAATACGTCACCTAAACAGAAGCGCTTACTGAAACATTCAGGGACTAACTATGGGATCTTGATTAGCCCCTATACTGACTAATAATGATTAGCAACAATTCAGAAAATAGCCTATTAATGGCTATATTAATATTAAAATACGTAGAGATATCGGTTATATTAATATTATTTGGTAGTTGTAATAGAGGGATTAGGTAATTTCATAATTCAGATTAAAAAGCCGGCTAGTACCATTGCGTTCACACTGAATATAGGAAAGGATAATAATTTAGCATTTTTATT